CCCCAAAACCCCAAAACCCCAAAACCCCAAAACCCCTGGGTGAGAAGAATTTATTGAATTTGGAAGGGTAGTTAGTAGTATCTAGTGTTTGAGATGTTGTTGTATGCCTCCTTGCTTTGGTAGCTATACCGATTTGTTCCAGGTTTGTGATTTTTACGTTTTGTGTCAGATTTCATCCAAGAATTTTTTTGTCTCTCAGACAAGTCTTTTCCTGTAGAGCTCTTGCGATGAATGAATAGGCTCCTATTTACTTTAGTTTTGCTCTCTTTGACTCTCTGGCTCTTCCTTGAAGGTAGATTTCTAGTCAACCCAAAGAAAGGTTTTGGCGAAGGAGATATTTTCGCCCTAACAAACTTACGCTGAGTTCTTGGCCTCTGGTCTGCAACTTCACAGCTAAAGTTCCGACCAGCCGGCCTAGGCGAAGAGATTGGCGAAGCCTGTGGTTTTGAATGAATATTTTGGGAATTTTTGGGATTTTGGGGCCGGATGTTCGAACTTAGCTTACAGTCTATTAATTTATTTTAAATCGCGAGATTTTGTGAGGAGGAATAAGCGTGAGGTGGTGATTTTGTTATTTGAGAGAGGTTATTTGGGTGTTTTGAGTGGAGATCTATGGGGTTAAGAGAGGTTTACTAGTTCTTTAATGGCAAGTTTGAACTTTTTCCTGCTCTTCTTTCTGTTTTTAGCCAACTATATAGTTATTCAGCAAATTTTTACTGATAGATTAGCATTTGGCATGTATTTGGGTTTTATTTTGGGTTTGGGTGAGCTTAAAGATCTTTTGGTTTCTAGAATTTCAACAATTGTGTACTATTTATCATTAAAGATAATTATATTGGTCTTTGTACGATAATGTCTCGCTCTCAAAGTAGTTTCAACCCTTGGAGCACCTTCTTCTGAATTATCTAAGAATTATTCAGGAAATATACTATTTTCAATACTATTGGTGGCAAACTGATTCTGGTTTTGCTCAAGTTTAACAGTTTCTTCCACTTGGGAGAATTTCCTTTTGCTTACTTCTGGTTGGGGCTCTGGAATAAACAGGTGAGAATTACCTGTGTACCATCTTTTATCTATTTTATGGTCTATTTTGAGTGAGCTAGGAATGTACCTTTCATATCATAAAGGATTCTCTCGATGTGCTCATATTTTCCTCTTGGAATTAGTTTATTTGGGATATATCAGACTCATGATTGTCAAATTGCTCTATTGAAGATGTTGAGTTCCAAGAAAATTTCAGAAAAATAGTTTCTTAAAGATTATGTATTAAGGAGGAAGGAAAAGACTTATTCGCTCACTTCTGAGATGAAGTATAAGAACTAAAGGAGAACAAATCTATAACTTTTATCAGTTAATTTCTAGACGCTTACTTCTTTATTAAGATCGACTGTTCGACGAACTTCTTCGTTTCTTTCAAGAAGTTGATGACCTCTTTCTATAAAATTAGGGAATAGAGTACTATAATCTTCATTGATTGACCAGTCAGGATTTGACACCTCTAAATACGAGTTTTCAGTAGGTATCTGACTACTAAAGGGATTGAGCTGCATTAGTTTTTTATTCTATTAATTTAAAATTTCTTTAAAAATTTCTTATTAAGGGGTTTTGGGGTTTTGGGGTTTTGGGGTTTTGGGGTTTTGGGG